AACAGTTCAACGACTATCTTGCTATGCAAGGCAGTACTTCTCTGGTTTGGGATATTCTCGTTGGAGAGCAAGGTCCCTCCTGCAAGACCTTGGAGCGGATACTGGATATGAAGACAATTTACGTGAGATTCGTTATTGGTAACATCCAAGATTGTATACCAGAGTGGAGGATTAGCAAAAGTGATCTTGAAATGGTACAATCCCATAGCCATACTCTTACAAGATTAGAAGGCCCCACTCATCCACCAAAAGTTTCTAAAGGTAGTGGTGCTTCATTGAGTCCTGGTAAATTTGCTCCCCTTAGTCTATCAGTCACAGACATGATTAAACTTGGGAAGATCAGTACAACCCAAGGCCCAACTACAGTGGTGTATTTGCACACATTTGACATGGATCTTTAGTCATGGTCCAAGTTACCAACAACTGTCAAATTCAATGAAGAAAAGGAGCCGTTTGCTAACAGTGGGTTTCGCAATGCATACAAAGCAACCACAAAGCACCCACAGTTCAAGGGGACTACTTGGGTAATTAAAAGATACATTCCTGATGCAGTGAAGGGAATAAATGACATTGGACAAACTGTCCAACAAAACACCCAAAAGGTGGTTCAGATGCATCTTCTTGCAAGGAATTTTGCTTCCCAGTTGGAACTAAAAATTGTTGAAAAACATGTTATTGATGCATTTGGAAAGGTCCCAAGGTATAGAAAGATCTACTACAGTGAAGATGATAAGGGAGAATGTATGACTGTGGAGGAGTTTGTAGATGGAAAGTTTACCAAGTACTTAAACAATACTGGTGATTGTTGTGTCGATGAAACAGATGTTACGGGTCAGAAGGCTCAATGTCTAACGCAGTTTTCTTATGAAAAGTCAGACAAAAACTCATGCTGCTAGACATACAAGGAAGTGGGTATGAATTATTTGACCCAGAAATTGCTTCTCATGAACTTTTTGATGGTAGTGCTGAGGTACTTTACTGTGCTGGTAACCTGTCACAGATGGCAATTGACAAGCTTGTCTCAGGCCACAAACATAATGTCTTCTGTGACATTGTTGGGCTCAAAAGTCTTAACACTGATTAAGTATGTTTCTACTACTAAGTTAGGTACCGGTATTCACCTTTTCAGAAAAAGGTAAAGAGAAAAGCACATGTAGTGTTGTCACATTCCAAAAAGTTGTTTGCTGTTCTGTTGTTGTACACAAGTATTTTAGAAGTTTTGATATTTTAGGCTCAGAGGTCTTAACACTATTAGCGGTAAATTAGGTGCAAAATTGTTTCCATTTACCAAAACAGGTTTTTCACTAAGGAAATATCTTTTCAGAAAAATGTTAAAAGAAATGTTGTTGTTATATTCTAGAAAGTGGGTTGCTGTTCTGTTATTATACAAAGATATTTCAGGAATTATCCTGCCCACTTCCCACACCAAAGTGCATTTTGCTGTGGACCTCCTTCCTTTGACATATGCATTACTCTTTCCTGAATATCAAATGATCTTCCTCATGTAAGATGATTTTAGGAATAGTCTAGCTGTATTTCTCAGTTAGTTTTCTTGTGACTGCACAGGTGTTCTATCATTTTGCATTTCAGATTCCAGAAATACTGTTGAACAGCCTTAAATATTTCAGACATCATTAGGAGAGCTCTGGAGTTTAAGAGGTTTTGTAAACTAAAACTCAGTTACATATTAAAAACAGTTAAACACGGAGGGTTTTTGAAGTCCATACTATTTAAATGTAGTATTATTTCAGTCTTCCAAATGTGAACATGCATGCTTTTAAATGTTATTCCTTTTCCAAGAACTAAGCATGGTGTAACTTCTTAATCTACACCAGGACAGGATTAGCCAGTTGACCAATTATTGCTAAACATGTGAACATAAGCTAAGGCAGGGGTTGTACTAACGCTTTTGGTGTTTACATTGGACATAAAACCTGTCATCGCGTGCTTGCGACAAGTGCGACCCTTTAGTCGACACCAGACATAACTATGTTCAAAGGACCTAAAGATCAAAAAAGTGGATGTCCTGCTTTGAAGCAGGTCATACCTTGTCTAATGGCCATAAAATAACAATTGTTTGTTTTTCTTCTGTCGCAACGTCAATCAAATCTGAAATACTGGCAAAAATTGGATTTTCACAATTCTGCAAAGACAACATGTGTGCACAGCTAGCTACAGCTATCGGTTCAAAATTGTTGTCACTGGTTTTCCCTACAAACGTTTTATCTGGTCCTTATGGCAAATTTCAAACCATACCAATTTACAAATTTGCACTATTCACCTGATTATTCTCAGTATGGGGATGGCTTGTTTTCACCCTTTAGCTCGCAGATTTTTTCCCAAGACTTGCAGCCTTTGACCTCACAGCCGTCTTTTGACCGGGCTTTTGAACATCGCCAGCCAATCCAGCCATCACCAGCTCCTTCAGCTGCCTCAGGAGAAGCAAAAAAAGTCCAACAAAAGGAAGAGATGAAAAAATTCCATTGCGGCTTTGGGCTGACAATATTGAAAAAGTAGAAAGCAAAGATAGCTGCAAAGCCTGGGAGGAAATCTCCAAGGCACAAGGCCTAAAATACACCGTCAACCAGTGCCAGCGCAAAGTTAAGCACTCAAAGAACCAGTACAAAGAAAAGAAGGACTGAAATTGTCGGCAAAGCGGAGGAAATTTATGCAAAAGTCCTCATCGCAACATAATTGATTCTGTCCTTGACTGCTGTGATATCATCACATGTAACAACATGGAGCGAGCTGGTACACAGGCTTCAGAAAACAGTGGAAGCTCAGAAAATAGTCCAGAAACAAGTGCTGCTGAAGCGCCGAGCAGTTCCAGTTCAGCTGGTTGCACCGCCCCAACAGCCACTGTTAGTTCAGTGGCAAGAAGACGCGAAAGGAAAAAGTAAAGGGTCAAAAGCAGCCTGCTCACGTGCATGACAGCGACAGCGAAGATGATACAATTGGTGAGGTCACCAAAAAGCTTGCCACTGAAGAGGAACAAATGGTTAGTGTTACGGAACGGATGCAAGATTTGCAAGCACAGCAAAAACAGTGAATAAGGAGAAAGCACGCACACAGCATGGTAGCTACACATTCGCACGGTTCTAACATGACACGCTTATCGTGCGTATATGCAAAAGAAAACAATTGCTTTCAAGTAATGTGCTTATGGCCATTGTTTGCATTTGGCTAACACGGTAGAGCTTTGTATTTTAACACGGTAGATTGACACGGTTACTTCTTTGTATTTTAACACGGTAGATAGACATGGTTATTTCTTTGTTTTTTAACACGTTAGACTTGTTAACAAGGTAGATTTCTTAATTTGCATGCAACTTACCAGATTACATCGCCAGGAAAAATTGTTTTTGGCCAGCTCTTTCTATTGCTGTTCTTACATAAATATTTCTCCAGCTTTTTGTACCAATGTTTGCTTTTCCGTAGAAAAGACTCCAAGGAAACACCTCGATTTCACTGTTGTATGCAGAACGTAAAAATGAGATAAGTGCAGCAATTTATCCCTTTGCATTTTCCACACACATACTTTCACGAGGTCAATGTGACTGCTTTGCGCATGTTCAATTGGTTCTGTTTCCGTAGTTACTGTAAGCGACATGGTTGACCGCATTTTGGAAAGTGACAAGTGATCGAAAATCATCGAATTATAATTATGGAATCTCAAGAGTAAGAATATTCGTACTTTCTAGGCAGCGAAAACTATTTGGAATCCGTCGTAGAAGCCTATTTCAACCTTAGACCGGTTGAGGACGAACCAGAAGATGACAACTCTTCTGATTTTAGCAGCGACGAAGAAGGCCATCAGGACAACAACATTGACTCTGATAATGACTTTGAGTTTGAGTTTTTGGAGGTTGATTAATCCGAGCATGCAAAAGTGGAGGCATTCATGAGTGAAGGCTGTGGATGTATGCAAGGCGACCAAGGAAAACCATGCAGCTCTACAATTCAAACTGAAGACATAATCGACTGTCGAAACAACTGTTTTGAACTTTCCTCCACCGAACTTGATCTCGTAACTTTAGGGACAATACATAGCTCCTTGAACTGTGACGAAGTCAGTAATTCAGGAAGGATGGAAAAGAAACGGCAGCAAACCAGGATGCCTTTTTATTTTCACAACCACAGAATCTGTTTGAAAACATTCCTGTTCATGCATCACCTTCACAAAACAAGATTTTACAGTCTCGTCAAACATTACAGGAATAATGGATTAACTCTTCGCATTCATGGGAACAAGAAACGCCTTCCCAGCTCCGCTTTGAGTGCTGAATCTATTGAACGGGTCGTGAAGTTTATAACGAATGTCGCAGAAGAGCAAGCTCTTTTATTCCCTGGTCGTGTTCCTGGTTTCAAGAGAATGGATGTAAAACTTCTACGATCTTCTTTAACAAAGCACAAGATGTGGAAAATTTATCAAGACGCTTGCATTACCGCCAGCCAAGTAGCTGTTGGCTATTCAAAGTTCTGTGGCTTGTGGAGGCAACTTTGCCCATTTATAGTCATCATGAGACCAGCATCAGATCTCTGTTGGACTTGTCAAAAGAACAGCAATCAAATCCACAAAAGTGCCAATTTACCAGAGTTCCCAAAGGCAGAAGTTGTTAGACAACAAGAGCGACACTTACTTCTGGTTGAAGGCAAAAGGGAACTTTACAAATACTGTTGTAAAACCACCAAGGATGCTCTCACTGAGCACCTCAAAAGCGTTGATTTTACAGAGAAACATGCACCATGCAGTCTTGATGAAACAGTGCATTATCTGTATGATTATGCCCAGCAGCTTCACTATCCTTCTGACCCTTACCAAC